CAAATTATGTAAAATTGTAATATATTGTTCATTTGATATGAATTATAAATTATAAATATTATATAGTATTATTAATAATATACGTAGGTAGGTACGTATATTATAATTTATGAAATTTATTTGATAATTTTAATATGAAAACAATAATAAATCATATTTCGACTTCGATAGTTCGATATGTTTACAATTCCTTAATTCTGAAATTAATTATAATTTCAAATAAGTATACAACCCTTTAAATACCTTTGTATAACTGGCATGGACCACGATAGGGTTTTAACATAGATTAGGTGGCATTTTCAAATTATATTGTGTATTATATTATATATTATACTTAAGGGGGCTGCAGCCGATGAAAAAAAGTGACTTTTAGACCAATAATATTTACTAACATTTACTAGGTTTCGATCAAGGCGATTTTGAATATTTGTTTTTCAGCTGTGATATCCAAGAATAAAAGTATCGAAAAAATATGATATTTTTGTATTTATATTATTCATTATGACACTAACAATAATTGGAATATTCAAAATCGCCTCGATCGAAACCTAGTAAACTTGTTGATCAATCATAATCCGTTTTCAAAATTAAAATCTGTCAAACCAAATTCTTCCAGTTTTGTCTAGCTTATTGGTCTAAAAGTCACCTTTTTTTCATTGACTGGAGCCCTCTCCAGCCCCCTTAAGGTTTATTTTATGATACGGGATTTAAATATGTTGAAAAACATTATAACAAATAAAATTAATGTTTAGATTGGTAAAATCTTCATTAGTTTTGACTTTTGACAAAACCTGCTGCAGCCCTCTTAACTCTAGTTGTCCCACCCGGCGTTGTATGACGGATATTTTTCAAGATATGCGAGTACATACAAAAAAGGGATTCTATTTTAAAATGTTATACATAGATAAAGATACAGTTAATAAATATATGCTATTTTTTTCAATTTCAGATAGAATGAATCAACTGGAAATGGAATGTATAGATTTATTACAACCCATAGGTGATATTATTTCTTTAGAAAGAGAACTAAAACGATTAAGCGAAGCTGAAACAAATTATATGAAACTTTTAAAAAATAATGAAAATAATATTAATCCACAAGAACCCATTTAATTTAAATAACACCTATTATAACTTTTGAATTAGTTATGCATAAGTTAAATTAAGTTTTCAGTTTATATTAATAATTAGTAAATCACTAAAAGTTAATAAACATTAATTATATTTTAATAATTAACTACGTTCGATAAGACTACAAGTGGATTTCATATAAATACTGCGTACCTATCTACTGTATCTTTATTCACTTTTTAATGCCATGCCTATTCCATAGATTCAAACGATATGTTTCAAAGATATATGGAATATCGAATTTCAAACCAAAATTAAGTAGTTGTAATATTTAAGCTTACAAAGCTATACATTGCTTACATTACAATATTGCTATCATTCAGAAAATAATATGTAACTATTTTATAGAAACATTCTAGTAACATATTAAAAATAAATAAATTTTATATTTCAAGGAATAAAACAGCTCTAGAATATTATAGTAATATCATAATTTAAATTAAAAACAGAAAGTGTTTCGTACGATCTATCTATCTGTTGAATTCAAATATTTTTTAGGAAACAAAATCAAAGTAATCAGACAACGTTAACTAACTAATAATTTTGTCAAAACATTATTAGTTATCGTAAAATTCGTATGGTTAATTTTATATTGCTATCAATTTATTGACATGTGCATGAGTGTACGAGAGTAGAAGTCACATGAATTTCACTCACACTAATAAGTAATAATCATTTACAAATAACAACGAGATTAGAAATTGCCTAAATGTTGCCCCTTAAATAATAGCCGTAGCGACGCCCCTTAACTTTAAATTACTAGTAACCAGTAGTTGTAAAAATTATTAAGTAAGTATACTGAATACACTATCAACCTAACCTATTTATTATAGGTATTATACATCTAATATTAGGTACTTATAGTTTTTTATTGTAAAACTATATTTAAGGATTATTTTCCTTACTGTATACATATTTTAATAATTCAACAACTACATATTGGAATTTTGATTTAGATACATCTACATTTACAAGAATATCATCTGCTAAATAAATTGCAGTAAAAACGAAGATTCTCATTTGAAAAATAGAAGTTTGTATAGTCACAGAACACAGGGCTCTTTAATAGTAGTACAAAAAATATCAGGAATTTGAATATATTATGGTCTTTAGGTATACTTGAAAATTCTAAAAATCAGAATTTAAATAAATTTATTTTTAAAGGAAAAAAGGTGGTGACCATTTTTTCACCAAAATGTCAAGTAAATTTTGTATTTCATTATGGGTAATATAATGATATCAATAAAAACACGTCAATAAAGATCAAAAAGGTTTTGATATTTTAAATAATATTGTCAATATCGAATATTGATCGTCTACGTATTTAGGAAGACATAGGAAATTTTAACATGACGTGTCATATTATTATAATATTAAAATGGATTGTGCAAAGTTAATTTTAATTTAAGGGCGTCGGAGCAGGTACTTTTTTAGTACAAAAACATGTCTTAGAGGAAAAACTCTCATGCCCTGTAAAAAAGTCAGATTTTGTTATTTTATTTAATTTAAAATAAGAGAAAATTTTGCAGGTCGGGTTACAAAGCCCGATTTTCAAAGTTATAATTATAGAAGCTAAAATATGCATTTGAATAATGCTCAATATTTGTTCTTTTCCAAACGTATTTTTCTTCCACTTTTTGAAGTAGCACGGTGAAATACAGCACTAATAATTTGAAAATAATAATGCTTATTCCAGTGGTAATTCTGTTTGAAGTTTGAAGTTAGTGTTGAATAGTAATATTATTATATTAAGCTGTTCTTATTTACAGCTACTTTTTAACCAATAGATAGCGCTATAGTTACAGTTCTTACAATTATTTCTTTACAATTATTTGTTCTTCCCGAAATATACTCAAGTATCTAACTGTCCAAGTGTTTGAGTGAGTCAAACTCACCAGGACATTGGCTGAAAATTCCATTGAAATTGACACAGCTGTTCAACATACCTACATACTTACAGGTAGTTAACTAAATTAAAGAATATTATAAAACAAATAAAGCCATTATTAAGTATTATATATTTAAAAAAAATGTTAAAGTACTTTTTTATACTACCTATGTTCATTTATTTCACTTCGGTATAACTACATAGTAGTGTGTACATTTAAGGTTTTATTTATAACTATAAAGCCAAGTTTTTTTTTCAACTTGGTTGTATTGTTATAGGTACCTTATAACTTATAAGTTATAAGTTATAATCCATGCCACCAAATTTACCAAATTGTATTTACTATTTTTCATTACTATACACATAACTTTATTCAACATAATTAATAAACAACTTTCTTACTTATGTGTATTAATTTATGTAGGTATTATATTGTAATAAATTTTGCTTGGAATATAATACCCACTAAATATAAAAACAAAAAATGTAGATATTGTTATAATAATATTTTATAATAAATGAGTACTATATTAATGAAACAATTGAGTTTTAAATTTGATAATTTATTATATACCTAGTACCTACATCTTCAGTTTGATAACAACATTTAAATTGCAAATAATTAATAGTAATATGTTAGGAAGATAAATGCAATTTTGTATGTCAATAAAAATTGTCCATTCAACGAAATAGAATTGGACACATAAGTAATACAAATTCTAAAAAATACATTATTACAATATCAATACACTTCTACACATATTATAATGACTTAATTAAATTAAAAACCGCTACATTTTACATTTCAGACAATTATTACACAGGGAAATTTTATTCTTCTTAAATTAGTAGTAAATTAAATAAATTATTAAATGTATGCCTATTATATTTTTTAAATAAATTAAATCGAAAAATGTAAGGAAATCCAGTTATTGGTAGATATACCTGAAATAAATGTTGATTTGGTTGCCTATCTAGTACCTAGTAAGTATATATTCCATAACACAAACATTTTTGGGTTTTGAACTAAATTATACTCTTGAAATTAATTTAATTTCTAGGAATAGTGCTACCTAAATAAAACTATGATCTAGGTATATAGATATATTATATACACATAAAAAAATAAAGTCAACATGTTCACTAACAGCTAAAATATGAATACATTAAAATTAATTTGATCTATCAGCCCCTTACTATTTAACAATTTAAGATAAATGATAATGATGATGCGTATAGACATGAGCTACTATAGGACTCTATAGGAGTTCAATACACATGTTAATTGTTCAGCGTTGCAAAATTATACGGGATCCATATTGCATAATAGAAATACAATGCACATAAATGGATTCAGCGTATTTTTAGCTTATTCGTGTGCAATTATAGAATAAAAAAGGACGAAAAATAGTTAGACTTTCAACCCTAGTCCCTAGCAATTTTCATTTATAAATACCTAGTAAATATAATATATATATTATATATACATACATAAATATCAATTTGTTGTGAATTGTAGACGAAAAAAATCTATATAAATTATAATGTGGAAATTAATTAAGAAAATAGATTACAGAAAAACAGTGTTAAATGGAAATATATTTGAATTTGAAATGAAAGGAATACAAAATGTGTTATGCACATACAAATTAATATATATTTATATTATGGTATGTGTAAAAATATAATTTTTTTGTTATTTCTGTCTACACGTTGTGAAGGTTTTCCGTACAAGAAGTAGAAGTAGAAAAACTTTTTCCAGATTACAATAATATGCATAATTATATAGGAAGCATTTAAAATGGAAAACGTTGGCTTTTTGCCCCACTTTTCTGTGAAACAATGAACAATATTTAGTCGATTGTTATTGTATATTATGTTGATTGCTGATATCTTATACACACATCCAGTTTCCAGGTGATATATCTATGCCGCGTGCTGTGTACACATATAAGTTTATTGTTGCCTCTGGCAATCCCCATTAGATGATCGCTTTGTTGATTTGAGCAATCATCCACTGGAATAGTAACAAAATAGCAGTGGACATTGAAACCGGTAGGGCAGACGCAACTATCCATTTCCAAACATTCGAACTGTAATGCAAGTAAAACAAATTATTTAAAGAACCTGCAGTATTTATAGACGATGATGCGTAGAAAACTTTATGATCGACCAGGTTTATTTTTATAGTAATTTTAAGTTCAAATTTGGACGAAATTACATATTAAAAAACCTAGAATAACTATCTTACCTAGTTATTTTGTTGTGATTGTATAATATTATTCGTGGGTACTTGAAACTTCTAAAGTATACTACTATATATCTATGATAGTATCAAGATTTGTATAACGCGTTATAAGTATACCTAATGGATATTGTGATATGATTAATTTGGAATTTATTATAGGTCAATTTTTTTTTAATACCATAGATATGTAAGTATATAATAATATGTCTTATACCTAGACTGACATACCGTCTCCGCTCAGAATCGTTTTTCTAATACAATAATATTATATCATTGAATTCAAATTTAATACCATCCATTATACAGTGAGCCACTTGTAACCTACTGTACAGCAGAAAACCTTCTTAAGTTTTTTTTTTTTGTATAAACTATTTAAATTAATTTTTTTCTTTTTGTCGAAATGCATGAATATTCAATTGAAAGTATTTAAGATCCATATGAACGATTTTTCTATGAGTATAAAAAATTCAAATTTTGCAAACATTTATCAAAATCTAATAAGTTAAAAAATTATAAAATGTTCATTTTTTATAGCTGAGAATAAATTTAAAACAAGGTTTATCATAAATAGTTTATACTGTTATCCTCAATGGATTGTAAGCACGGAAAAAAAATAAATTAATAAATGACATTAAGGTAAACATGGTAAATATGGTTATTATTATAAAGTCATAACAACCAATAAAAAATAGTAAATACATGAGAATTTTGACGGGACCTTCGATTTTAGGAAATTAAATCTGGTATGTCACTACAAATTGTGTAACTATAAATGGTATTTATATTGTATGTATTATTTATATTAAAATAAATTAAATTTGACTAAAATAAGTTTAATTCTTAGTATAAGTAATACCTGTATGGTTGTATTATAATTTATAGGATAATGTATAAATATACCTTTTTTAATTTTTATGAACTTTAACCATCGTTTAACCATAGAGTTTCTTAGACCAACGCTGATTATAAAGTGTGTTGTATGCACCTAGAGGCATATTATATCGTATTCGGGATGGGGCCGTATGGGACAAAACTATTGATTTATTTTCTTCTCAGCTTAAAAATTAAAGTTTACAATCTTTAGTTTAAACTTTGTTTTAAAATAGTATTTGTATATACCTAATATTTTACTAAAGTATAGGTACTTATTTTGCTAATGTTAAGATTAGGCATTAGGTAAGTACCTTGTACTTTATTTAAGATATTTTACTGTAAATAACTAACTACAAGTTGTACATGTTAATATAAAAATGAGTCCAGCATAAAATATTATGTACTGAAAAATTCAGAAGGTGATATAAATATTTATTGACTAAAGCCGCAGCAGTGTGGTAACTGGTAATATAATTAATACATGTGATTATCATGGGATAAGCTGTGAGGACATACTATTTTAACGTAAATTAGTAATAAGTAAAAACTATCATAAGTATTTTAGTGTATTATGGGTAGCTATACAACTTAGTCAATAATGATTTATAGATAGAATATTATCGAATAGGTACCTACCAATCCACACTTTATACGTTTTAGTTTTATAGTTTTATCCTATAATATATAATAACAATGAAATTACTAGGTAATGTCGTAATGATTATAGTAATATGATTATTAATTCAGTAAAATCTATTTTTAAGATGTGCATTTTCCTAACCACCTCCTTTACAGTGCAAAGATTGAGTTTAATTTACCGATCGGTTTCATCACAAATTTGTTAATAACTATCACTGAACATAATATTTAAATATTTTATGGGAACTACCGTTTTTGCCTATATTTCTATTAGTTATAAAGCACAGAAAAACAAGTTAACACGGTGAAGGACTATAGCCATAAGCGATACTAATATAATATTATGCTATCATATTATTTGGACCCATGTGTCTCACTTGCGCGGATGGTCTGTGACGTCAAATGGCGGCCGTCGCTTCAGCAAGCCGCATCTCGAGATTCGTATCTCTTTGGTGGGCCTACCCAGATGGTCAGTCAACTGCTTTTCGATGGCATGTATGACCTCTTGTCCTTCGACCACGATGCCAAACATTACGTGCTCGCCGTTCAGGCTCGGCGTGGACCTGGTCGTTATGAAAAACTGACATCCGTTCGTGTCTGGACCTGCGCAGCAGATAGAAAAAAATGTCACTTGACTACAGTTTGTGTTGAGCGTCAATTGATTACCATGTTCCTTGGGGATAATTATTTAAGTCATAAATCTTTTCGTGGAATGAGGTGCAAGGGACAAGGGAAGGTGGACTGACACCGAATGCTCTAAAATTTGATTGTAATGAGTCCGGGGCCAAACACTACATACTACGTATTTATTAACACCGATCCAGAATAAATTTCATGTCCCTTGAGTTAGTGTTGGGTACTTGGTAGTAACTTATAGAGATGTGTTGTTCGCGAACGAACGGATCACATTGAACGGGTCAAAGTAGTGAACGAGACCGATCCGGATCGCCGAATGACTTGATTCGGGTCGCCAAATATCGTTCGTTTTTTTACATCTGAATACCTACACTGTACGTCTTGAATGTGATAACAATCGAATCGATCGTGATAATAAAGAATAAATATTACACATTATTAGTTTAGTTATGCATTATCATAGAAAAGTAATAATATGCATTATATTTAGAGTACATTGAACAATACAGTATATTGAACGAATCACACGAACGGGTCATGTTGGTTCCTATGCACCCCCACCCTAGACTTGCCACTGCTGAAAAAACGAACGAATAATATTGAACGAATCACACGAACGGGTCTTTTGGAAGACCCGATCCGAATGAACCGGATCGTTTAATTGACCCGTTTTGCACATCTCTAGTAACTTAACGAAAGCGCCATGTTACTATATATAACGAGTAACGACATTACTTTGTTTGTAACAATCAAGGCTGGAGTAAGGGGGAGGGGGGTCTAGCCGGGGTGGAAGCCCCGTGCCCCTCGCAATGGCCAAAATGAAAGGGGCCCAAAAAAATTTAAGCTAATACATATTTTTTAGTGATTTTAAAGAAAAGTTTTTCTATTGTTTAAATTTTTAAAAACCATTTTATTTTATCAACAAGAACAACTAAATAGTAAATAGGTACCTACAAAATCACTGTGGTAGAAAAGACGCATTTTACTGTTATTTAATATTTTCATTGATATCAATAATATCATCAATAGTTAATATAGTTATTTATGTACGGAGAGAGCTTTTTCTTAATTAACTATAGTTAAAACTAAGTATATAACCAGTCAAACCCAAGAAAACTTAGACATACAAATGATTTTATATTCTGAGAATGATTTGTTAAAATCATTAGACTTAAATGAAGTACTAAGAGAGTTTGCTTCAAGTAAAGTGGGGAAAAAAAAATGATAAAATTTGATTTGATAAAATAGTTTTTGTTTTATATATTAACTTTTGTTTGATATTTGTTGTACCTAAAGGCTAAAAGAGTATACCCACTGTTAATAAATTTAAAAGTTATTATGAAAATTTGAATTTAAATTAATGAAATATGAAGTATTAACTTTTATTATACTATTTATACTACAATAAAATTAGTAGTTTTATAGACATAAATTAAATTTACCTATTTATTTTATAATTTTATAATGCAACTGTCAATTTGTAAAATACTAAGAAAAATGTATGTTCTTGAGAGTGTAGCGAATGGCTTTTTAAAGCATGTTTTGTCAAAAGGGCCCATATGAAATTTCAGCCCCAAGGCCCAATAGGTTCTTAATCCGGCCTTAGTAACAAGCGTTACGTAAATAGTTAGTTTGTTTAATGTTTTCCAATTAATGGAAATGTAATGGACATTTTTTCAAATATTTTACGAGACACGAATCAATGCCTTAAACTTAATAGTCGCAAATTCTCTCATTTATCATATCACCAAATAATAATAATAGGCTGCAAGCCTCTGCAGGGTACCTATAAGATAAAACTAATGACCGATGATTTTCTTTTCCCAGTAACTAAATATTTTGTGGGCCCAAAATTGTTAGTCCTTACCGTTTGTAGTGGCATTAAGATTAATTTAGGAATGATTCTGTTAGCCATATAGTCTCTATATCTATTATTAATATTACTATATAATATATGTTCGAAACACCGACCTGAATTGGCCATTCCCACGAATCCCGGCTTTGTTCCGTTCACTTTCAGGTTTTCGTCGGGAAACGTGTCGCCGTATATGCTTACGGACCCGCTTCCGTCGTTGTTCAATATGTCTCCACCTGTGTACATCATAAAATATTAGTTTTATAGTAAGTACAAATTGTGTATATTCGTTCAAATGATTTTTATGTTTAAAATAATCAAGGAAAAATATAGAAATATTCGAGTATTTATATTATATTATTATACTTGATAAATTTCCAACATATGAATCAATAATTTATTCAAACATAATAATATATTATAATAACAATTATTTATGTAATTTATAGGTATACCATAAAACATTTGTTTATTACATAATGTTTAGACATTTTAAAAATGTACTGTAGTCTGTAGCAAATACCTATAGCAATACGCATATGTATTTAAAAGTCTGCAGTACCTATATAAATATAGTCATGTCATGTTCTAATAGTATTATTATAACCAACGTTAAACGTTTATAATAAAAAAGATTTAAAGGAAACCTTTAAGTATACTCTATTGATTTTTTTATACAAACAAATAAGTACACCATACAGATATATAAAAGGGTTAAACAGTGTTATTGATTTTAAATTATATAATATTTTAATTAGACTTCTTTACTTCTTAGTTTATATTACACAGAATATTTTGTTAAAAGTATACATTTTCGACATACAGTACAACTTTATAGTAATTTACAATGTATCCACGTACTAGTGCTAATCCTCGAGGTGTTATACCTAATAAATAGAAAATTTTCAAAAAATAATAATATATTATCAATAGAAATTTAAAACTTTTTACAGTCACGTACATTATATTATTTTCCGTAAGCTATTGATTATTTACTTTAATTAAATTTATAATTTTAAGCTATTTTACATTGAAATTATTCATACAGTGGTATGTTATACTAATATAAATAATATATAATATACACGTATCATAGTATGATTTTATACATCAATAGTAACCTATATAAATATCCTAAAAAACTGAGAAACATTAAACCATCATGTCAATGAATTTAAATTTAACACATCCATAACAAGTGACTTATTACACACTAGACAGTGGACACCCCTAGCGAATTCCTATAGTTTTAGATTCTGAGTGGAACGATGAATGTATTGATTTCACAATGATGTGTATTTTTTTTTATTTATTTATTTTTTTTTATTTTTGTGTCTGTCATCACCTTTTGTGATTTTATTTAGGACAGTAAAAGTGCTTGGATTTTCTTCAACAGTATCTTTTCTAATAGGAAAGTGAATCTAGTTGGTACTTTGGGGGGGTCAAGAGTAAACATTTTCCAGTAGTTTTCAAAAGCACCGTGAAAAACAAAAGAAAAATTAAGGGAAAACGGGAATTAATACGCAAAATCTGTTTTGGTTTTTGGTGCAACTCTTAAATAAATTACCTAAGATACATGAAATTTTAATTTTCTATACACCATAACATTTTCCAAATATTTTGACTCATTTTGAGATGTTTATGGACATTTTTAATTTCCATTTTTTTAGTTTTTTTTTATATACATATCAATAAAATTTTATTTGTTGGTTAAAAAAGCTTGAAAATTTAATAGAAGACTCCTAGTATATTGTTTCAAAGGCTGATGAAAAAAATTAAAAATCCATAATCACAATTTTTTTTTATAAGCATTTAAAGTTCAAATATTGAGAAAATAAATAAAAATAACTAAAACTTGCAAATTATTTTGAGGTAGAAATTCATAAAAAATTGTCTTTTTAAAGATTTAAAAAACTTAGATAAGTTTGTCTATCTTTATCAAAAAAAAAAAATGTCTAGGTTAGGTTAGGTTAGGTTAGGTCTACAAGAAACTCAAATTAAATTTTTATGAGTGTTTGAAATTCAAATTTTTACAACATTTGATTCGCTCGATTTCTCATGTAACGAATTTCTTATTTTATTGTAATTAAAAAACGAATGACTGTAAACACTTGAAAATTTCACTGAATGTTTATATCAGCATTTTTTATACACCATATAAATTTGAAAATAATTTGACTCTTTGTTTAGCTGTTTACGGACATTGTCAGTTTTCAATTTTTTTAGTTTTTTTTTTCTATAAATATCAATAACATTTTATTTGTTGGGTAAAAAAACATGAAAATGTAATGCAAAGTTCCTGATATATTGTTACAATAGCAGTTGAAAAATATTAAAAATACATTGGCACAATTTTTTTTTATAAGCATCTAAAGTTCAAATTTTGACAAAATGTATCACATTTAAAATTTAATAATAATTTTTTAGTTAAAAATGTATAAAATGCTCAACTTTTATAGCTAAGGATTGAAAATTTAAAACAAGATTCGACGTAAATAGACGTAAATACATAAATTACTTTATTCACAATAATATCATCAAATATACTTCGTAATATCTTAGGCTGACTGAATGTTTTCGCTCAGAATCGTTTTTCTTATACAATGATATTATATCATTGATTTAAAATTTAATACCATCTTGTGACCCACTTGTAACCTACTGTACAGCAGAGCACCTTTTTTTAAATTATAATTATATCATAATTTTTTTTTAAAACTATACCTATCTCTGTATTAAAATAAATAAAATTAAGTATGGTATATTTACTGTACAATATTTAGGTATATATATAAGTATTTTTTATTAACCAATAGTCATACAGTCTGTACCAGGCATGCCCAACCTTCGGTAGTATTCCAACCAAACCGTGAAGATCTTATAAAAATTAGAAATTTGTAGGTAGAGGTGTAAGAAAAAATAAAAATTGAAATTTACAAAAAATTTTATTTTAATAATCTTTTTAATTTTAACATTTCATAAAAAATGTATTGGAATTTGGATTTCAGAATATTACTAGAAATAAAATAGTGTGAAATTTGAGATTGTTTTTCTTTAACCAATCTTTCAATATTCGGAGTAAAATGTGTAACACCAATTCTTAATAAGAACTAAGAAGTGTAAGTGTTCAATGTTCATCAGTGAAACGAAAACTTTCTAAAAATTTTGCGTAATGCATATGCGTGAAAACTGTTATTCGCAAGTATAAGTAGAATCAAATAATGTAGGTATACGTATTGGTAATTCATTTATTTTTGGAAAATCATCAGAAAAGGGTCTTATAAAAATGTAGTAAATCTGTGTTTTTATATGTGATTTATTTACATAAATTTTTCAAATGATTATTAGTTTTTAAATCAATAAGTTCAAGTTGAACAGTTTCTTGAAGTTTACCTAAACCTCATTTTCATGAGACTGCAAAAACGGATTGTCGAGTATCCGAAATGAAATCATATGTGATTTGAAATATTGAAAACGGTTTTCCAATTCTACTGATAATTGTTCCAACATACTCATAAAATGATTTGTCTGAACGTAAATAAAAGAATTTTGTTTAATTTCTTGACACGTTTTAAAATGTAAAAAATTTGTTTTAAAATTTGGTTAAGTTAATTTTATTTCAAACAATTTTACATCACTATTATAAGCTCGAAAATAGTCACTGTTTTTGAAGTTTAAGATTTAATTTATTTAAATGAGCTGAAATATCAGTTAAGACATCATCAAGATCATACTGCATCCATTCTTCGTTTACAAATTCTTCTAGTGGTTTGTTTTTTTCTATCATAAATTTTGAATAATTCAAAGGAAATTATTTCCCTCCGAACATCAAAAAATCGTTTTAATACTTCCTTGACTTAACCATACCTAACCTGGTTATGATACAACACATCTTTATGGTTTACAGTAACAATATTTTACTTTTTTATAGAACTTTTTGTTATACTAACAATAAACCTATAGAGTAGAATAAATAAACTATTCTACGGAACTAGAACATTATACTTTTTAAACTATCGTCTATACCTCAAATTATGGTGTATTTCGTAATTATAAAAATTAAAAATTTTAATTTTGAACTGTTTGCCTACTAAAGTTTCAAATGTTCAATAAAAATTTTTTTTAAGATTTTAGTATCGAACTATGTCTAAAGTCCAGCCCAGTGTAAAATTTAAGCTATCCATTTATAATTCAATAAAATCCAAAAAAACTTGTGACTACATGTCTATCTATATTTTAAGTTTCATAATTATTTGCTCGAACAGTCAAACAATTATTTTTTATATGTATTATTAAATGTTTGTATTTTCAATAAATTCAAAGTTCTATTTTATTGATAATAATGTGTCAAGTCTCTAATGTCTAATCCATTATTTTTCGAGCTACAATAATTAAATAATTAAAATACATTATATGATATGGCACATTTGCAGTTTTTATTTCAATTTTAAAAGTCGAGCTTAATTGTTAAGATAAAAACTCTGAAAAAAAATGTATAATCTAATAAATTTTAATAGTTTTTCCAAGAAAATTTCGAAAAATTACCTCTCTAAAGTACCAAGCTGAGACATTTTTTAATCTCAACTCTCAAGAGACGCGTATAGATGAATTTTTGAATCAGTTAATCTAGGGCTGGCGGTATTTTCGGTATACCGGTATTTTAAAATTATTTTGGGTAAAAGGTATACCTTAAAAAACCAACTACATTTTTTAGTATAGATAATATAGATTATAATATATATAATAAAGTAGGTATAGGTATAATGTGAAACAATCTTAAAGTGAAAAATATCGATAATAGTTAGATTTTATTTATTATTTCGGTATACCGTACCATATCGGTATTTAGGTTATTTTCAATACAGTCAGCCCTAAGTTAATCTACACGTAAATGTGTTCACAGAATAAAAAAAGAATAAATAAATATAATTTTGATGTCAATATAAGTCCTTCACTAAAAGATCTAAAAGATCTAAAATAATAATTTAATAAAGTGGACAATTTAATTTAAATTTAATTTAGACATATAAAATAGGTATTATTATTTTAATTTTTTTGGGGGTGTGAGCTTCGGCTTCAAATAAATTATTTGGGAAGGTCTAAGTCCCCGTACCCGCTTCCCCTGAAATCTCTGCCTTAGTACCTGTATAACTTCATATACTTCTGGTAAAATATCGTATTGGCGTGTAAAATTATAGATTAATATTTCGAATTCCAGTTGATATAAGCTATAAAT